AACAAAAACTTGACAGCTAGCGGCGATCCCTGTGAGAAATGAACAATAGCGAAACACTGCTGACAGGACTGCGAGATGCTGCTTATTTTGATTCCACAGTTTCCGCGGCAGGCTCTTACTCGGCGGAGTCACTGAGTTGGCGCCGTCATGGACATGACTCAAGCCAGGACCGAGTGACCCTTACCATCGATTTCTTCCTCGTGGCTCAGCCCCCGCTGCACCCGTCCATCCGCTCAGCAAGCCGTCGCCGTTCGTCGCTGATCCCTGAAATCTTTCCACTTCCCTCCTTCCTCGCCCTGCCCCAAGGTCCTCCCCCTTCTCACCTGGGCGTCTCAGGAACTCCCCCGCAATCTTGCCGTCCCTCACACACCACATCAGGAAGCTCCTACCCTGGTTTAGGTCTTCAGTGTCTCCCAAGGCCCACTCGAGAAAGGCTGGGTGCTCAGGCTCTGGTGCTCTTGCCAGGGGATGAGCCCTGGCGGGAGGTCTCGAACCCCCGGGCTGTGCCGTCAAAGGGCACTGGGAGACCCTGCTTCCTTCCTCTTGATGTGCTGGCGGCCGTGAGGTGAGCGGTTGTCCGCTGTGCAGTCCCACCATGATGTGCTGCCCGCCACAGACCAGACAGAAATGTAGCCAAAGGTCAGGGACCAAGTCTCCCAGATCAGGAGCCAGCGTAAACCCTTTCTACATGGTGTGTGGGGGGGGACGCACCGATAATCCCAGCACTCTGGGAAACTGAGGCAGGAAGATCCCAGGCTTTACTCAGACTGAGCAGATTAGTGAGAATTTATCTCAAAAAATAAAAAAAACCCAAGGCTGAGCTGTACACCAAGGCTAAGGTCCTGGTTCAATCTCCAGTGCTGCAAACAAAAGCAAAGCAAACCTCTTCCCTTTGAGTTGATCTTCTCAAATATTCATGAGAGTGCCAGAGCAGAACAGCACACCTCCCAAGCACGACCCACACCCCCGGGGTGCTCACGAGGAGCTGTCGTATGCACAAAAAAGCTTAGAGTTTCTGTGTCTCATGCCTTAAATTATTTTTTGTATTTTCTAACATGGCATACATATGTAATAACAAACATAGCTGTATTGGCATGTGGGTTTAAAATGTTTTATTGAAGGACTCTGAGTGTAGCTCAGGCAGAAAGTACTTGCCTGGCAAGCCTGAAGCCCTGGGTTCAATTCCCAGCTCTTCAATACATCTTACTGAGAAAGCACATGCTTTAGAAAGTTTAGTGGCCACTACTCTATAGAACTATTTTTTTTAAATCACTCTTTTCATGTTTTGCTTAAACTGCTCCATGGATTTTCTGTTGCTCACAAAACTCCAAAATCTGTGACAGTTCCCACAACTTCTTGGATTGTTTGTTTGTTTTGAGCGAGGGTCTCATTATGCAGTTCAGGCTGGCCTTGAAGTCTGTATGTAGCCCAGCCTGGCCTCAAACTCACGGCAATCCTTCTGCCTCAGCCTCCTGAGTGCTGGATTACTGGCGTGTGCCCCCACACCCGGTTCTATAACTTCTGAAGGAGCTACTTCTCTGGTCCTGCCATAGAAACTCCCTCCCCTGGGTATGTATGGGGCTCTGCCTGACCTTTCTGTCCTTTTAGTTTCAGGTGTTTTTCATGGGGAATCTTCACAAACGATGTCCCCTCTTCCTCCACAAAGAGTTAGGTTTCAGTTGAAATGTCATTTTCTCCCCCTGAAACTCCCCCGTCCTAGTCCAATCCAAAAAGCCCTCAGTTAAACTTTCTCCCAGTATCCTGCATTTCCCATTCTGGCACCTATTACAGTTGCTGCTTCTGGTTTTTGTTCAGTGTTGTGTTGGCTTGGGGGATATTTTGCAAGGGAGAACAATATAGTACAGGACACATATTTTATAAGATTATTTATAATAGTCACCCAAAGAATGATATACAAAAGAGTGCAGGAAATTTGTCTGCACACTAAGACCAAGGAAACAAACCGAGGGCCTGGATTTCATGGAAACATCCTGCATGAGCCCAGCTGAAGACCTAGAGCTCATAACAATGCCTCCCATGAATCCAACTGGAGGCCCAGAGCCCATAACAATATCTCATACAGGCCTGTTTCATGAGTCTGCACTGCGAAGGCCCCAGGGTCAGTGGTGGAATCTAGGAAGTCCGTGCCAGCAGGATGAAGGATCTGCGCTGGAGCCAGGAAGTGACGCTCAGAGGAACAGAGCTCCCCTGAAAAGTACCACAGCCATCCTCAGCAACAGTGAGGTCCCGAGCTCCTCCAATGATCAAGATGGCCCCATCAGGGAAGCCAACTCGACAAGCTTCTCCTGGAGATCAGCGGTGCACCATCCTACCCTCCGGAGCCAGGAGCCAGGAGCCAGAGCTCCCCCAAAGTGAACCAAAGCCATTCTCAGTGCCAACGAGGTCCCGAGCTCCTTGGAGGATGAAAACAGCCACATTCATCACGAAAGCCAGCATGACGAGCTCCTCCAAACAACCAACAGCTCCTTACAGCTTCTACCAGCTCCAACAGCCTCACTCAGCTCCCGGTAGCCTCTCACTGCTTCTTCTCCAGTTCTGCCTCTTATGCTGCTGTCAACAATCCTTGGGTGGGCCTCCCACACCCAGCACCACGCTTACTCAGTTCAGCTGGGGGTAATAAGTTGACCACCAGTTGTCAATCCACTACAAGTGTCTTCCAGAATAGGCCATAGTCTTCATGAGAACTTGATCATCACCAAGGACTCCAGCACCTATTATGTGCCCAATAAACGGCACTGGATGAAAGAATGAATCAGTGTAGCAACATTCACCTCACACGTACTTCCTAGGAGCTAGGGAACCCCAGGGGGTGTCTGGGTCCCACCTCGTGGAATCTCATGTTCATCGGTCCCATGCCAGGAACTTCACCTTTACTGTAGTATCTTAAGTTGACAGCTATTGAATGTATGGGCTATATGTGACATTTTGTGCCCTGGCCAGCAAGACTCAACCCTGATTATCAATCTGCTTCTCCGCGGAACACTTCAAAATGCCCTTGCACAGATATCTTTCTCCTGGGTTTCCAGCACCTTCCACAAAAGTTTATCAGAGCAATTACTGATTGGTAACTACAATTCCTGCTTCTGTCGTTCATCTTTGTGAATGGTGTAAAGTGAGCATTTCAGAAGTGACTGGAGATCTCTATAATGTTCCATGAGTTTCTTTTATAGAAAAAAATTCTATCTGCTCAATTTCCATGGTTCTCAAACTTTTACCACTACTTCTTACAACTTTTTTGGCTCCAGGGACTGGTTTCGTGGAAGACAATTTTTCCACAGACTTGAGGAGAGGGAGGTTTAAATTTTTTTTAAAAATGTGTTCGTCTGCAATACATAATAATTATATTCTGCAGTGCTAGCATCACTGCCTCAGCTCCACTGCCGAACATCAGACATTGGAATCTTGTAAGGAGAACACAAGATCCACAACGGGGCAGTTCACTGCAGGGGTCATGCTCCTATGAGAATCGGGTGCCACTGCTGAGCCAACAAGAGGCAGAGTTCAGGCAGTGAGGCAGGAGACGTGGAGCAGCTGTAAGAACAGAGGCAGCTTCGCTCCCTCACCTGCTGCTCAGGCCTGCTTTGCAGCCCGGTTCCTGTGGCAGGGTTGGGGACCCCTGGCTTCAACCGAGGCAAACACTCTGGGTGAGGTTTCTTCACACGCTTTACCGTGAAGCGTTAAATACCGCTGACATCAACCCTTTATGAGAGCTGCTTTGACACAGTGAGGGAGAATTCCCGCTTACTTAGTTCTGCCTTTTTTTTGGTTTGTTTGTTTGTTTTTTGGTTTTTCTCTGGTACCGGGAACCGAACTCACGACCTTGCGCATGCCAGGCAGGCGCTTTTGCCGCTGAGCTAAATCCCCAGCCCCAAGTTCTGCCTTTTATCTTCTCCTTTTAGAGAGACTAACTTAAAAAGGGAGTAACTTGGGCGCTGAGTTGCAAACCTAAAGAGCAAGGAGGCCACAGACATCGCTTTCCACATACACAGATCTAAAAAAGAAAAGAGACAGGAGAGCGAAGACACACTGATGCTCTTCCCGGTAACCCCACAGAGTGGAAATAATGTAGCCTAAAAAATGCTTGCTTATTACAGGAGGAATTTTAAACAGGGAGAGTGACTGGGTTTGGTTAGGATGTCAACTGTACTCAGATCTTTTTTTTTTTTTCCTTTTTCCTCCGTGCTGGGGACTGAACCAGGGCCCTCACAATGAGCTGCCTCCCAGCCCTTTTTCAAAATTTTATTTTGAGACAGAGTTTCTCTCTAAAGGTCTCCAAGTTGCTAAATTACCCAGGCTGGGCTTGAACCTGTGACCCTCCTACCTCAGTCTCCCACAGTGTGGGGAGACTTAGCTTGTAATCATTTACATTTTTCTTCTTTCTTTGAACAACTGTGTCAAGTCCAATTTTATTGATCTACATAGCGATAGCTATATATCTATAGCGTCCCACAGATTCTTTTTTTTCTTTTTTCCCTTTCTTGCAGAGTTGGGGATCGAACACAGGGGCTCACTCCTATTCTTAATCTTCGCCCCTGAGCTGTTCAACTCAAGCTAGGGTTGTATCGCAGGTCGCATTCACGCACTTCAGCATCGGGAACCGTCGTAGCCCGGTTACCATACATGGGCAGAGTCTCCGAGCTGGGTGAGTGGGGGCGGCTGCTTCAGCCCGGCGGTTATACAACCACACAGCGAGCACCGCAAGTGCAAAAGGCTCTGGCTTCCTTAAGAACACTGAATTCTAAAAACGCCTAAGGGACACCTAACAAGCATATCCTGGTTGCTGAAGCTAATAGCTAGAATATAACCGTCAAGATGTCACTTCAATCTGGCGGTTTTGTGCGGCTGCTACTTTAGATAATTTCCAGCCCTTGTGCACGGAGAAGTCTATAGGCGGCGCGCTCAGTCATGGCAGCATAACTGTTACTTCCTGTCTCACTGATAGTCATGAATGTGAACCTACGGACTGTCCCCACGCAAGATGCATTCCAACAGTTTATTTCTAAGTCAGTTGTTAGGAACTTGGCAGTTTCCCATAGAAACAATTTGAGATGTGATGGTTTAGATTTCCAGATATGGCCAAAACCCCACATTAACCCAGAAGTACTTTTTCTAAAGCTACCCAGCATGCATAACAGTGCTGTTTTCTAGGAGAATGTTTCCCGGCTTCTAAGCTGGGCTTTCTTGTAAGGAGGCTCCCCAGCAGCAAGTGAGGACCCCAAGGTGGGTCCCACGTCGCAGTGCACCCTATAACCTGTCGCTGCTCTGCTTCCAGGGGTCTCTCTTCTGCCGGAATCCCCTCGGAACACTATTCGTACTGTGCAGAGCACAGGCTCCGCGGTAACTGCTGTGCCCGGGTCATTTCACTCGCTGCTCTCAGCGAGCTCGTCTGTGAGGCCAGCGGTTTAATCCACCTATAAGAAAGGGAACACGAAAGCTTAGTGACATTAGGCAACTCGTCTAAATTTATGGATTTAGTTAGAGCCAGGACTCCAACCCGACCCTGCTTTCCTCCCAGTCCACTTATTCCGGGGACTTGGAGAGCATTTCCAACAGCTTGATTTTCAGTTGCCAATTTGACAGCGTGAATCGAGTCAGCACCGTCCCCGCAGCACACAGAGGGGTCACTCGGGCAGGACTCAGCGTGTCTGTACCCCCGACGTAAGGACGGTGCTAGGGGTCTAGCGGACACCATAAGACATCCAACACGGACACACACAGCCGAGGGCGGCCGGTGCAGGACAGACAGATGCAGCTTAACGGGGACCCATGTGATTCAGAGCATGAGTCTACACAGGGGCACCTTGAACTGCCCGTCTCACAGGCCTCACAGAGGACCCCGGAGGTGTGGTTTCTATCCAAGGTGTGCTGGGCCTCAGGCTCCAGTGAGCCTGAGGTACTACAGTACTGAGAACCGAACCCAAGGCTTTTACATTGAGATACATCAGCAGCCTCCCACACTTTTTGTTTTGCGATGGTATCTCACTGTCACTAAATTGCCTGGGCTGAGCTTGAATTTGAGACCCTCCTGCCTCAGCCTCCAGCAGTGCTGAGATTACAGCAGGTATACTATCATGCCCAGGTCTTTAATTAACAGACAAGACCAGCTTGAGCTATTTAATATTGTACAGAAAGGGAAGGTGGAAAAGGTGCCAGGCAGTGCAGAAACCTCTAGAATATCTTCATTATAACTTAAATTTCTTGAACAAATAATATAGTAAAAAAAAAAAATCCCTTGCCTTCACATAAATAACCACTTTTTTTTTTTTTTGGCTGGGGGTATTGGGGATTAAACTGAGGGCTTTAATATTGAACTACATCCCTAGCCCTTGTTTAAAATTTGTGACACAGTCTTGCTAAATTGCTCAGGTGGGATCCGAACTTGCAATCTTCCCTCTTCAGCCTTCCCAAGTGCTGAGATTACAGGGGTGAACTTTCACCCCCACTGCACTGTTAGTAATTTTATTGTGCATCCTTTAAGTTTCTTCTTATAAACAGACAAGCCATTATAAATATTTATATATTATTTCCCCACTTACCCCCTTACTTATTAAAAAGCAGCATAAGACCCACTTATTTTGAACAATAACTTTTTATATACATTTCTTTTGTCTGTATTTTACCATTTCAGATCATCACACTTAGCTGGCTGCAGTGGCGCATGCCTATAATCCGGCACTCAGGAGGCTGAGGCAGGAGGATGGAAAGTTTGAGGTTAGCCTGGGCTATGTAGTAAGGCCCCATCTCAAAAGAGAAATCACTTAATAAAAAGTATGGTTTTATTAACCAATGTCAAGCGTTGGGGTCCCGAACAGAGATGGTCACTTTCAGAGGTGGACTTAGCCCAAGTCTGGGTTGAAGCCGTAAGCAGCGCAGGCCTAGGTTGCTGCTGCCATGACACCAGGACACAGCCTATCCTGCTGTCTTCCAAGTTTCACAAGCATCTGTTCCTGGGTCCGCCTCACCGCCTTGTGAGGGCCTTGAGGCAAGGATTCGAGGTCATTTACCTTCGTGTCATCAACATTGAGTGCAAAGCTGGGCAAATATGAGCAGTTAAATGAGCATTTAATGACAACGCATAGAATGAACTCGAGTAACCACTCAGCCGGCCACAGGTTGGAAGGACACAGAGGGAAGGGACGGCATTTGTCCCTTTCTGGTGACACTGTCCAGGGAAACCCCGTGGAGATGTGCTACGGAAAACCGGGCAACAGAGGGGAGAAGACAGATACGGATCCCCGGAGGAAGGGAACCACAAAGGGAGCTCCTGGAGCACCCAGGCGGGAGCTGGGTGCCGGCCCCTCTGCGAGTTTGGCCTCAACAGGAAGTGTGGTTGAAAACAATGGTAGCAAATTCAGGCTCAAATTAGAACTTTTTTTTTTTTTTTCCCCTCCCAGGGAAAATCAAAGACAGTGGCTGAGAAAGGAGGCTCGGGTAGCAAATGTTTGAAATAGCTGGGATGGAGAGGCAAGCTGAGTGAAAAGGAACAGCTGCCCACGGCCCTTCTGGAACGAGGCCAACAGTAACTTCCCTGGAAGTCTAAGCATTGATAAGCAACACCGAGACTCTCCGTGAGGCCGGCGATTACACAAGTCTAATTCTTTTATGTCAAATACTGTGTGAGGGTCTTTGGCCCTACAGATAAAAGACCAACCTCGGAGGCTCCCGTCTGGTAGGGGGAAGGCCATCTGCATCTTCAAAATACATCTAGTCCCAACATCTAGTCCCAACATTGTGATCTTACTTCTAAAAACACCCATTGTGACACTGAACACTCCAGTAGAACATATACCAGTGCTTCCGCTTATCCCGCCCAATAGGAGAAAAGTTAGATAATCTCTCAGACACTCAGAGTTACACGAAGTAACGGGGCTCTGCAGCCTCTCCACTCGCCAGCCGCACTACCTCAAGCGCTGGCACAGTTTCAACAGAGAAGTTACTTTTAGACCCACTAGGGGAAGAACTGTGACCAAAAAATGTGTTTTTATAAACTGTGAAAAACAAACAGCCTCATTCCATCCTCACAGGTTTTCATAAGGTATTTAAAGGCAAAATGTTTGTTCCAGTTGACCTAAGAATCAAACCAAATCCTCTCTGCTGGAAACTTACCAAGTGAGTTAAATTCACTCAGGCGTGGGTCTCCGGGGCTCACCCAGCACAGGAAACACACGCAGGCAAGAGGTGGGTTTGCTTCAGCACAGCAGGGCAGCCACAAGTGGAGAGGAAAAAGCACGCATCTGTTCAATTCAAATGAGTCTAAAAGTTCCCATAGTTACTTTTCAAATGTTATGAGAAACATGAAACTTTCCAAGTTCGGGCTTGCAAAGCAGCTCACCCTCTCTGCAGAGAAGCCCAGCTCCGTATTTGTAGGTACATTTTAGAGAGCGTTTTCAGAAAGCATTTGAGCTTCAACTTTTGGAAGCTAGTATTTAACCTAAAAATCCATGCACATTAATTGCACATTTACTTTTTCATTAATAAATTCCAGCTAGCAGCAGTATTCCTTACAAATCTGTTTTTGATCATAAATTCCAGGCTCATTTTATACACATCTTCTCAATAAAAAATGACTTAGTATCGGGTTCTTCCCACGGCAAAAGCAATTTAAAAAGTTCTCAGAGCCATTACCCGCCCTCTTCTTTTCTATAAAACTCAGCCGTGTCTTGTATTTCTCGTGTTCTTTTTTAGGTCACATCTCTGTGAATAGGAACTCTCTCGTCAAGGAATTCACCCTCAGAACTCCCACAAATGTGCCCATAGATATGTTTAGAAATGTGCTTTGAAAACACTGTCTTAAATAACATGAAACTAAAAACAAACCAATGTCTGTCCACCTTGGCTAAATAACTGTTTATGAATAAATTCTAAATAGCAAGTGAAACAAGGTAAATCTACAGACTGACATATGAAGACTTCCAATAACTGTCTTAAATGGACGACAAAACAGTTGACCAGTATGTACAGAATGATGTAATTTTTGTTTTATTAATCTTAGAGTTGAGTATCTTTAGAGATAAAATAGTTTCAGTTATAAATGTTGTTATAAAAACTGTTGTTATAAAAATGTTATAAAAACTGTTTCAGAGCACATAAAATGATGGGAAATTGCCAAGTATTTTTATGAAGCAAGTATAACATTGGCACTGAATTGTAAAGACAGCACATAAAGGAAAACATACTGGTTAGTATCACTTACAAATGCTGATGCAAGAATTCTAAAAATATTAGCAAGTAGACTCTGTCTTCACAGTGAGAAAACAGCGCACTACAACGCAGTGTGTTTGCGGCAGGAACGATGGGTGGTGATGTGATGTCGTTCTCTTCCTTGAGAGATTCCACGAGAAAGACCCTGTGATTGCCTCCAGAGATGCAGCAAAGCATCTGACAGTCAACAACCATTCCGCACGGAAACAGCTGGGCAGAGGATCTGATGAATAACATTAGTGATCACACATCATGAAGGCTGGACCTTTACTTAGCACGTAAAATAGTGCCGCTTTCCTACTAAGGCGGGAAACAGGAGAAGGGCGCCCTCAGTCTGCTCCGCAGGTTTACAGATCGCAAGTGGACGAGAGGGAAAATAGAAAGCGTTCAAACTGTGTCTATTTGAAGATAATGTGAAGCACACCAGGAAAAGCTCAGAGAATTTATTATAAAACCACCTGAAGCAGAAGGGAATTTAGAGGTACTGTGGTCTGAATGTGTCCCCCCAAGTTCAGTTAATCCTCACATTCGTTGGTGAAAGGTGTTTAGAGGCGGGGGCCTCAGGGAGACGGTGGGCAAGGGTGGCCCTGCCGGCACTGGTGACTGGGAGAAGAGCGACCGGAGCCGCGCACGGAACAAACTCGCTCAGTCTCAGCGCGACCCAGGTGCTGGGCTGTGCTCTGAGGCTTCCCGGTTGCCAGACTCGTGAGATAAATAAACCTCTACCCTCTGCCTCTCCCTGCCCCAGGACACCACCGAGCGACATCCCCTGCCCTTTTTATTATGTATTTTGAGGCAGAGTCTCACTACACTGCGCAGGCTAGCCTAAAACTCACAACCCTCCTGCCTTCGCCTCTCCAGCAGCTGGCATTACAGGCATGAGGCCCTGTGCCGGGCAAACCTCTATTGTTTATAAACTACCCAGCCCGTGGTATTCAGTTATAACAGAAAATGATCCAAGATAGTAGGATATAAAATTAATACATAGAGGCTGCGGTGTAGCTCAGTGGTAGAGCGCTTGCATCTAAAAAATAAAAAAATCAATAGCCTTCAAATACGCAAATAATGCTAGAATATAAAATGGAAGAGAAAATTTCTTTTGGAACAGCAACAACATAATTAGGACGGATTTACGAAATGTGACAAATCTACGTGAAGAAAGGACAAATTACTGGTGGAAAAACACAAATGAAAAAATGACCCTTGTTCTTGGATAGGATGTTTCATCCTTAAGACTAGAGTTTTTCCCTAATTTATAAATTTAGGACAAAATGACATCAAGATTTTTTTCTGGAAGTAGAAAAACTGAAGTTACAGGTTGATCTCAAAGCAGTCAGCCTGGAGGAAACGCTGTGACTTAAGCTAGAAAGCTGTATGCTGGTCTCCTCTAGGGAATGACCCGGCTTCTGGTCCCAAGAGCCAGCGCTACTCATCCTGAGCTGACTGCTGCATGTGGAAAACCAGCCACTTCCCCAAACAAACTGAAAATCTCAATTTTAATGTGACATTTTACAGTCTGAATATGTTGGCAACTAGCTTACAAAGAAAATAGTTTGAGCAAAACAAAATGTCTTACAGCTCCTATCAAGCGCACGGAATGCCAGGGTTTGGCTTCTCAGGCACGGGCAAACCTTTAAAGGGTCACATAGTAAATATTTTGGCTTTGCAGGTTAAGTACAGGGTTTGCCCATATCCTGGTTTATCTTTACATCACCCAAGACAGTAAAGCATACGCCTTGGATTTGGCCCTCGGGGGAAGGGGTGTTTTACCAATTTTGGTTAAATCATCTACACTTGAAGATTCAACTGTAGATGAAGGCAGACAGTCTCATCCCCATTTCTCCCAAATGACTTTTGAAATCAGGCAGGGATACATATATATAAATCTCATGGTGGTCATGGTGGTCCTGACACACAGTATCCAGGAAGCACATCCCGAGGAGTGTATGTACCATTTTGAGAGAGGGTACACCACCTGCCACAATTTACCTGCTGTTACAAATGATACCATAACATCAGGGATAGCTTCAAGATATCTTAATCCAATTCTGTTCCCAAAAAGCAGTATCATCAGACTTACAGGTTAGATTTCTGCTCAAGAATTACAAGGGGCTGTTCTTGTTTTTGGATGGCCATCTATACTCATTTTCTTCTCTAACTGCTTGAGAAAATCACGTCTGGTAAAGTCCAAGATGGCAGCACCTACTTCTGAGACAGGCCAAGCGCTTTACAATCCCATTGGCCCAACGATAGGGCAAACACCTCAGGGAAGGTTCAGCCCAAGTCGTCAGTGTGGTGTGCTTTGGTTCTGGCCCAACCTTACAAGGGACCCTTCAGGGATCTGATCAGGTCCTGGACAACTGCAAAACTTACCAGGATACTGTAGTCTTTTATTAGGATCTCTTAAAATTAGGACAGCTGTCTCAGATTTAAAAAAATAATTACATGTGAAGGACTTTGATAAGGTGGAAATACCTTTCAGACTTCATAATTCATTGAAGATACATTATCCACCATAGTATGACTTATTGAGCTAAATGTAGTCCTAGTTCCCTTGAAAGATGATTCCAGATCTACCCAACTTGTACCACCTAAATCGGTGGATCAGTAACAAAACTAACACAGACTATAGACTACCTAGAGGTTGGCTGGACCAAAGCTCCTGGGCCACTTTGTCAGTACCTCTAATTTCGTCAAGAGAGCAAAACTCAAGAGCCACGCTTAAAGATGAACGCCTGTGGACTGGGGGATTAGCTCCGTGGGAGAGTACAAGCTCAGCAAGCACAAGGCCCTGGGTGCAGTCCCCAGCGCCTTCCAGCAACAACGTGCTGGAGTAGACAAGTCGATTGTTTTAACAATGCGACACCTATTAAACAGCCATCCTGAAAGACTGTTTAGAAACTATGATGGGCGTTGTATCAAAAACAAAGGTAATACAGACTAAAAGTCATCGTTCCCTAATTATCGTAGCGTTGTATTACCACCTGTGTTCTAGGGAGGACTTCTGTCTACTGCGTCCGCGCTGTAGAAAACGGTGTAACGCCGCGCCTCTCTGCCGCATCTGCATTTTCGGCACACCCGCAACGTGACACTCGGCATGCTGGGAGCGTTTACACCGCAAATAGGCACACACTGTAAACCTGCCTTCCTTGCTTTCCTGGGAGTCAGCTTTAAACATTCCTGGCACATTACTGACCCAGGAAAGAGCCGCAACCAGATCGGATCACGTGCAGACCCTGTCACATTCTCATGCTGGCTCACAGAGACCCAACTTAAAAAAAACAAAAGTTGCCTGAATATTTACACAACAGGATTCTAGGGGCTATGAAAAAAGGTTTTTGTAGTACTGGAGATAGAAACCAGCGGTACTCTACCAGCTACATCCCAGTCCTTTTTGAGACATCATTTCGCTAAGTTGTCCAAGCTAGCTTCAAACTTGCAATCCTCCTGCCTCAGCCTCCAGAGGAGCTGGAAGTACTGGTGTATGCTCTACTGTGCCTGGCAACATGGCTTCTTTTTTGATCATACATTCCTTCTAAATAAAGAAGCATGTTTTCTAATAAATAGCAAACGAGGTCTGAGACATTTCAGAATTCCCACAATTAGTATTTGAAGGAAAGGGTTAGGGTGGGTTCCTTTTACTTTTGGTCCTTTGTCTCTTACATCGGATACTTCTATGAGAAGAGCTGCTGCCCGAAGGCAGCATAAACTGGACCCAGGAACAGAGACGGGCCAATCTGTGCCTGCCATGCCAGGAAGTGATTAAGTAGGCCCACTGCAGCTCCCTGCAGCACAAAGGCTTGATTCACTAGCACACGGCTTGGATGCCTTTCGGGTCATTTCAGACATATGGAGTCTTTCACTCAAGTCATGGAAAAGAACGTCAAAACTAGACAGTGTGAAAAAAAACGAAGGCATGTGTGTAAAGGTCATTACCATTTTAATTTGTGTTTTTTCTTTATAAATTTATTTTGGAGTGCCTGAAA